TTATATAAGCAATATTTCACAATTTATGTAAGTTCTTTTTATAGTAATTGGAGTGATTTTTCCACAAACATATTTGTAAATTATTGTTTCTTTATTTGCTTTGAAGTTTGTACCTCTAGATACATTTAAAAATGTATCAAATCAATATACAAGTTACAGAGAATGTGACAGCCAAGCTTGAACAAAACTGGCAATCAGATATATTTGTTATATCTGTTACATTATCAAGAACTGCTTTGACCTCATCTCTCATTCTTGGGGTCCGGCATGTCTGCGGGGGGGCTGCCGACCTGCGGGAGTCCCCGAGACTGCCAATGTAGATGTCTCCTTCAACCTGAGGGAGAGAGTGCGCGGAAGTGAAAGAAAATAGAAAAGTGGAGTCTGGAGGTCTGCGTAAATTATGGTTAAAACACAGCAAGTTTATTCTTGTGGGTTACAGCTTTTATACCTTTTTTCTTGTTACATTTACTTTATCTCAGCAGGAAAGGGGCAAACTGAAAGGAAATAGAAACTCCATAAAAATAGTTATCAGGGGCTTGTGATAACTGCTCACAAAGCAGTTTAAGGGGGCTTGTGATAATAGTTTACAAAGCAGTTTATGTTTTTCAAAGATACACAGTGCAAGCAAACAATGGTGCCCTTAAGGTGGCTTGTTAATCCTGTTTTCCATCAGGAGGTAGAACAAAGGCTTAGCTCCAGGGAAAATATGGGCAGGGGTCTCTTGTCCCTCTTAGGCATCTCAATTGTAGCAAGTTTATTGCTTACACAGAGACTGATGGGGACATGAAAGCAGACAGCACAATGTCCTCATAAACTGCAGACCTTTGCATTCTGGTTTTGCTTCTGTGACTCAGCCCACGGCCTTTGTCTCAGCTCGACAGCCCTCAAGACAGGGGAGTGCAGATAGGTCCAGCAGCCAAGATGGGGCGAGTCACGCTAACTGTCTAAAGCCCTTGGCGTGAACACCGCACATCTCATCTTCCTGCTACTGCCTCCAGCAGTAACCATGACCCTAAATTATGTCGCTTTCTTGCCTTAATGCCCCTTGTTCCTCTGGTCCTTAGTCATTTTGCAGTTTTTAAATTAACTTTCCCATTTGATCCTCTTTGAAGTCATTAGGCCATTATTTCACAAACATGAACATGTGCTCAGACACAGATTACTAGGTGGTTCACAAATAATTCTTAGTCTATTTTTTTCTGTTTTTTCCTTTTATGATAGAATAGTCTCTTATTTTTCAATTTTCTTAGTAAGTGTATTTAAAAATTTATTCTATTCATTTATTTGTATTGCATAGCTTGATAGCTAGTACATAGTTGGTACTCAATAATTACTACTAGAATATGTAGTGTTCGCGCCAAGGGCTCGAGACAACTAGTTGACTCATCCCAGTTTGGCTGCTAGACCTGTGCATTTCCCCACCTTGAGGGCTGTCGAGTGAGACAAAGGGCCGTGAGCTGAGTCACTGAAGCAACAACAGAATGCAAGGCAAAGGTCTACGGTTTATGAGGACATTGTCCTGTCTGCTTCCATGTCCCCTCAGTCTCTGTGTAAGCAATAAACTTACTGCAATTGAGATGCCTGAGAGGAGCAGAGACCCCTGCCCATATTTTCCCTGGAGCCAAGCCTTTGTTTTAGCTCCTGGTGAAAAACAGGTTTAACCAGCCACCTTAAGGGCGCCATTGTATCTTTGAAATGTAAAATCTTTGAAATGTAAACTACTATCACAAGCCCCCTTAAACTGCTTTCTAAGTGGATATCACAAGCCCCTGATAACTATTTTTTATGGAGTTTCTATTTCCTTTCTGTTTACCCTTTTCTTTCTACTGAGATTAAGTAAATGTAACAAGAAAAAAGTATAAACTCTGTAACCCACAAGAATAAAATCGCGGTGGCTGTCACTGTGGCTCGCTGTGGCTGCTGCTGTGCTGCCCAGCCCTCCAGACTCTACATTTCTATATTCTTTCTCTTCTGTGCACTCTCTCTCTCAGGTTGAACGAGACATCTACGTTGGCGGTCTCGGGGACTCCCGCTGGTCGGTAGCCCCCCGGCAGACGTGCTGGACCCCGACAAGAATAAATTACCTTTTCTTAACATAGGGCAGGGAGACCTGGAGAGGAAAGGGCCTAAAGGGAGTTTCCTATTTCTTAACCACACCATTGAGAGTTTTGGAGACAAATACAGAAAGTTCTCTTCAGAGGAGCTGTCTCTTGCACCAAAAAGAACGTAACAGCACTGTTAATGTTTTGGCATTGACCCTTCTAGTCACTTTTTTTACTTACAACTGTATTATGTATGTATGTGTGTGTGTGTGTGTGTGTGATGTAATATAAATAAGAATACACTATTTGGCAACTTGGATTTACCCCATATAATGCCATAAACATATTTTGTGTTGTTTATTTTTTAAACATTATTTTTAATGGCTGCATCATATTTCATTAGGGCTAAAACCTAGTGTTAGGCAAAGTCCTACTCTTCAACATGAATATTCCAGTTTTTAGCTACAGTAAACAAAAATATGGACAATATTAACATGAAATTAGAAGATAAGACTCAATAAGACTATATATTTTTAAATATGTGCAGAAAAGAAAAGGGAGTACTCTGGAATTAAGACTATATCTCAAACTTGGATGAGTAAATGAAGCTGAGTAGAGTGTAATAAGGTCTGTCTTGGTTGTGCTGAGTACGAGATGCCTTTGAAATACTTATTTCCTGTACTATTTAGAAGCCTAATAACCATGATTTTTGATATGGGCTGAATTTACCTGTCCCAGACCACAATTTGAATGTTGAAGTCCAGTATCAACTGCCTGAACATGTGACTTTATTCGGAAATTAGGTCTTTAAAGGTATAAAATGAGGTTCTAGGGGTGGGTCCTAACTAACCTGACTGGTGTCCTCAGCAGAGGATATTAAAACACAGACCACACACAGAGGAAAGAGAAGGGAGGGGAAAACTCAAGGAGAGTGGCCTCAGAAAAAATCAATCCTGCTCACTAGGTTGATCTTGAACTTTTGTAGTCTTCAGAAATGTGACAGAATTGATTTCTTTAAGCCACAGAGTCTTTAGTAGTTTTTTTTTTTTTTTTTTTTCTTTTTTGGCAGCCCTAGCAAACACACTTCTCAAACATTTTCATTCTGGCATTACTTTTCTCCACCTCTTTTCCATGTTATAATGGCTTCTGTACTCCACAAAGACAAACACAGGAAACACAGATGCACACCCACCCCTAGTGTATGTTGTAGGGGAGGAAAGAGCTTTTCCTTTTACCAATCTTATGATCATTGGCTGGGGCCCTGAAACAAAATACACATTTAATATAAAGTTTTATATAACACAAGGAAATAAAGACCTGCAGAAGGGGTTAAACTTGATGTTTTTACACTAGGTTTGACAAAGAGTAGAGAGTCATGCAGAAATATAAGACAAAAATAATACGAGCAATAAACAAGAACTCTAGCCAGGTCTATTTGTTCAGATCCACCTGATACTCTGCAAGACTCACACGAGGGTCTTACAACCTGTTTCAGAGGAAGGTCATAAGGACATTCCTGTCCATGTTGTTCTACTGTTCCTTAGAATATTCAGTATGTCAAGGTGCCATATTTGGAATACTATGTTGTTTTCAGAAGCCTAAGATTGCTGATGGAGTAGTGACTCTTTTTTTTTTTTGTCCTAGTTAAGAAAATTGGCTAATGAGTATAAACCCAAGGTTTTTATTTACTTTTAGTACTTTTTGTTTGGTTGGTTTTGAGACGGACTTCGCTCTAATTTCCCAGGCTGGAGTGAAACAGCACGATCTCGGCTCTTTACAACGTCCGTCTCCCGGTACAAGCGATTCTCCTGTCTCAGCCTCCCTAGTAGCTGGAAATACAGGTTTGCGCCACCACACCTGGCTAAGTTGGTCAGGCTTTTTTTCGAACTCGATCTCAAGTGATCCACCCGCCTCCGTCTCCCAAACTGCTGGAATTACAGGCGTAAACCACTGCGCCCAGCCAGAACGAGATGTTTTTTTTTGAGCGGGTGTCTTGCTCTGTTGCCCAGGCTGGAGTGCAGTGGCGCGGTTTCGGCTCATTGCAACCTCTGCCTCCCGGGCTCAAGGGATTCTCCCGTCTCAGCTCAGTTGTTAGACTACTGACGGTTAGTCTCAGCTTCCCAACTAACTGGGACTACAGGCGCCTACCACCACACCCGGCTAATTTTTTTTTTTTTTTTTCCAGTAGAGACAGTTTCACTGTTAGCCAGGATGATCTCGATTTCCTGACCCCGTTATCCGCTGGCCTTGGCCTCCCAAAGTACTGGGATTACAGGCGTGAGCCACCGTGCCCGTCTTAAAATGAGATTTTTTAGCTCAATACTCATGGTATTCCCTCCACAACAGAGTCCCCAATAATGCTCAGAAAAGTCAAACTTGTCGGGTGATCACCAGGGACCCAAAGACTACACATTTTCTACCCCTTCCGATGTCGCGCAGACTGGAATGCAGTGCCGCGTTCACGTCTTCCTGCAGCCTCTACCTACCAAGTAACTGATGGTACAGAGGCAAGCCGTCATACCCGGTTACTTTTACTTTTTGCAGAGAAGAGTTCTATGTTGCTCAGGATAACCCTAACTCCTGGGCTGAAGCGAAGGTCAAGCATCGACCTCCCAAAGTGCTAGGATTACAGGACCTTCAGCAAGCAAACACAATCTCCTGATGAACTTTTTTTAGCTGAAATCTCACTCTTCTCACCCAGGATGGAATGCAATGGTGAGACCTCCCCTCACTGCAAACTCCGCCTCCTGCGTTAAATCAATTCTTCCTCCCTCAATCCCTCCAAAACCAGTAGCTCTGAATACAGAGGCCGATCAACAGACCCGTCTCATTTTTGTAATTGTAGCAGAGACGGGGTTTTACCCTGTTGGTCAAGATGGCCTTGGTCACTCGACTCTTGGTCAAGCATGCCTAACTTTAGGCGATCCGCCCGTCTCAGCCGCAAAAATGTCTTAACAGTGGAATTTAGCATTAAAGCTCCATATTTGATATTTGAGTGGCTCTTAAAAGAGCCTTTGGGTTTGAAAGTGCCTATGCAGGCATTTACTTGGAGCTGGTGTACTTAGTGACGGCCTTGGTGCCCTCCGACACGGCGTGCTTGGCCAGCTCCCCAGGCAGCAGCAGGCGCACGGCCGTCTGGATCTCCCTGGAGGTGATGGTCGAGCGCTTGTTGTAATGCGCCAGGCGGGAAGCCTCGCCCGCGATGCGCTCGAAGATGTCGTTGACGAAGGAGTTCATGATGCCCATGGCCTTGGAGGAGATGCCGGTGTCGGGGTGCACCTGCTTCAGCACCTTGTACACGTACACGGAGTAGCTCTCCTTGCGGCTGCGCTTGCGCTTCTTGCCGTCCTTCTTCTGCGCCTTGGTCACCGCCTTCTTGGAGCCCTTCTTCGGGGCGGGAGCGGACTTCGCTGGCTCAGGCATGTTGTCAGAAAACAAGAACAATTAGAAAAGACACATTTAAGTAATCGCTCGTGTCTAGAGGCTCTCCTTTTATAGACCCTTTATGCAAATAGAGAATTGACAATATCCAGCTCTGATTGGCCAGTATAGTATGACGCAAATATTTAAAGTAGCTTTCACCTTATTTCCTTTCCAATTGGTTGGCTTGTCTAATAATAACTTTAACCAATCAAACTGCGCCGTTTACAAGTCTACCCATGACTATAATTAGCTTCTTATTCCTCCTTCGAGCATATTTTCTTTCTTTATTCTGTAGGTTGTTGCCTCTTGTGTTAGGAAGCCGCAATGTCTGGACGTGGAAAGCAAGGCGGCAAAGCCCGGGCAAAAGCTAAAACGCGTTCTTCCAGGGCTGGGCTTCAGTTTCCCGTTGGCCGTGTGCACCGTCTGCTCCGCAAAGGGAACTACTCGGAACGAGTCGGGGCTGGCGCGCCAGTGTACCTGGCGGCAGTGTTGGAGTATCTGACTGCAGAGATCTTGGAACTCGCTGGCAACGCGGCTCGCGACAACAAGAAAACCCGCATCATCCCGCGCCACCTGCAGCTGGCTATCCGCAACGACGAAGAGCTTAATAAGCTTCTAGGTCGCGTGACTATCGCACAGGGCGGTGTCCTGCCCAACATCCAAGCTGTACTGCTGCCTAAGAAAACGGAGAGTCACCATAAGGCCAAGGGCAAGTAAAATGATTACTAGTCAAATCCATCAGTGATCCCGAGTCCCTGAAACCAAAGGCTCTTTTCAGAGCCACCCACATTTTCCGTAAAGCGCTGGAATACACGTGGTTCTTGAAACCTAAATGATTAACGCTGTGTTAATTCTAGAAACATTTCTAATATCAATGACACGTTCAAATTTATTTAAAAATAAATTCTTGTTTACTGTTTTGTCAGTTCATAGTTAAAATGTTTGCTAACATTTTACGCACGAAATTATCTTAAAAGCAAAAATGCGTTTTATAAAGGTACACAATACAATTCGAATTGTGTCTGTTCCACTGAAGAGAAATTTGCATCACAAAGTCCATTATTATATTTAGACACATATCCAAATTTGTTAAACACAGGCTGTTTCTTAAGGTCCACTTGTCAGAACAGACTAAAATTTAATGCAGAAATGAGAGAACAAAGAAGGATAGCCGCCCACTAGCATTTCAGGGCGGGTTTTTTTAAGTTTCAAAGATGACAACATTCTCGCTGGGCGCGGTGGCTCTAAGCTGTGATCCCAGCACTTTGGTATGCCAAGGCACACGGATCACAAGGTCAGGAGTTCGAGACTAGCCTGGCCAACATGATGAAACCATGTCTCTACTAAAAACATGGGCGGACCACAGGTCTGGAGTTCGAGACCAGCATGGCCAACATAATAAAACCCCATCTCTACTAAAAATACAAAAATTAGCCAGGTGTGATTGCAGGCATCTGTAGTCCCAGCTACTTCGGAGGCTAAGGCAGGAGAATCACTTGAAACCGAAATTATTTGCATCGGCAGACAAAAAGATCTAAGAAGTAACTTCAACAAGTTTGATACCTTTAATCAATAGTCAATGTTGAGATGGTGAAAGTACATTTCCATGCAAACTTTGTATAAACTTTAAATTTTTTATAGTAGGACACATTAGGGCCCTTCCCTTTTCTCCTACTGACAAGTCTTGCGAGTTTTCTTAAACTAAATTTCCACTTAAAAAATTATAAAAATATAGCAATTACAAGATTAATATCTATGAAGTCCCATAGTATAAAACCTTGACATCCTTTACTGAGTAATCAGATTGGGGCTCGGAAACAGTACTACAAAATGAAGGCCAAAGAATCTACCTCAAAAGCAAAATTTTTTTGTGTCTCCTGCCCTCCTGTGTCTGAGTACCATTCTCCTCTGAGGCCAGATATAAAAACTAGAATTCCTCTTTCCCAGTGTGACTCATCACAGCCAGAATCCTTTTTCCTCAAAGCCATCCATAAAAACTAAAAATATTACTCTCATTTCCCCTCTACCTTTCTGTGTAAAAACTGGCCACAGAGAAATTATCTGACCTACCTAGTTTACTTGCAAGTCCTAAGACCCCATTCCAGAGGTGGTGCTGCCACATACCAAGAAGGAAGGAGCGCACGTTCAAAGAGATGAGGAATGGAATAAAAATTCTAAGTCCCTTCGACAGAATAATATGTACCCTCCTTTGGCTAAAAGACCTCAAAAGTTTAAATTCTCAGCCACAACAAGATGGAGGCTGGTCGCGTTCTGTTTGTTTCTACTCCTCTTTCCCTTTCTAATTGCTGCTGGATTTTCTCAAAGTCTGATTTGAGGGAATAAAACGCCAGAAAGCCCCTTCCCCACTTTATCTGACCCTTTCCATCCTCCTCAAATGTGTTCCAGACAAGACAGGTATTAAGGACCATAGAGTTTCTTGATACATGACTGCAGGTCCCCAACAGGTTGTGACCAGTCTCCTAATAAGACAGATCATGGACTTCTGCCCTACATTTCAGTTTTATGTATAGGACCTAATTATGACTCATTTACATGTTAAATCTCCACCCCAAAGTGATCATGGACATATGTTACATACACAAACACCTAACACCCATGTGCTTGGGTCTTATTCATAAATAATCATAGCTCCTCCTATAACCTATTAAATATTTATACTTGGCCAACATATTCCTCCAAACTTACTGTTTTATCCCTCCCTCCTTCCCTCCAAGTGCCTGTCTCTCAGCAAAGCAAGTAGGGTACTACTTAGCCTGTCAGAATGGTCACCTTGCAGACTGCAATCCTTTATGAGAAATAGAGCTATCCTTTCCAAATGTATGAACCTTGTCATTCTTCAGTTGACAGAGGGGAAGAATCTAGACAGACAGGCCTTGCTGGGTTACATCATACCCTTTTTGTCCAGTCAGATTTCTACAAGGTCCATACGTTGTTGAACCTAAGCATAAATGTGGACAATTTTTACTGTATCTTAATATCTTCATTCTGAAGGCTCCCTTGAACACAGTAATACATTTGTGTAACTGTTCTCCAATTAATCGGCCTTTTGCAAGCTAATCTTTTAGCAAACCTTCAGAGCTCCCCTTGGCTCGTATAAAATAATCAACACTTTAACTTTTTTATTATTTTTAGACTTCAAAGTAATTTACCTGATGTTATCTGAGTCCTTCTTGGTGTTTACATAGCTTCCAGGAATAGCAAATTATTTTCTGAACTTTCTTCTTTTCATGAAATGGCATTGTGCTCCCAGTGATTCCTCTTCTTTTTTAAAACACCAGAATGTACATTCTATTACATGTACATAGAAAGTTAAGTTTTGGGGACACTAATTCCTTTAAGAATTAGCAGTTGTAGGTTTTTGTACAAAACATGTTTTTTTCAAAAACATAATATCAGGAAAAATATTCCTATAACACTTCTTTTTTCCTGTCTTTCTTTTCTTTTTTTTTTTTCCTCTCATTTTTGAGTCTTGCTCTGTTACCCAAACTGGGGTGCAGTGTTGCAGTTATGGCTCACTGCATCGTCAGATTTCTATCCTCAAGCAACCCTCCTACTGCAGCCCCTGGATCACTGGCATTATAGGCCTGAGCCACTGTGCCTGGCTAACAGAATTTCAAATAGTGTCCACTTACTGATAGTTTGCCATGGAAAAATTCAAATGTCAATAATTTTGCTAGTTGCTCACCTCTTCTTGCTTCAATAAGTAATGGTTTAGCAAGACCCCTTAGTTCCCTAACACAATTGTAAAGATATACAGATATAGATGTAGATATAAATAAAGATACTGTTTTGTTGTAGATTAAGTCCAGATGCTATAATTGGGTTCACAGAAATATATTGAAAATCCACACTATTTCAAAGCCTATGCTGTCAAGATTTGGTAAAGAATCAAGAAATAGAGAAGAGAAATGGATGATCCTGGCACAATGCTAGATATAAAGAATAATGCAAGCCACAACCAGGTTCAGTGGCTCATGCATGTAATCACAGCACTATGGGAGGCCAAGGTGGGCAGATCACCTGCAGTCTGGAGTTCAATATCAGCCTGGCCAAAATGGTGAAACCCCGTCTCTAATAAAAATACAAAAATTAGCTGGGCATGGTGGCTCCTGCCTGTAATCCCAGCTACTTCGGTGGGTAAGGTAGAATTGCTTGAACCGAGTCCCAGGAGGCGGAGGTTGCTGTGAGCGTGGATCACGAAACAGCAGTCCAGCTTGGGCTACAGAGAGACTCCATCTCAAATAAAAAAGAATAATGCAAGTCACATATGTAATTTTGAATTGTTGAGTAAGCACATTTGAAACACATAATAAGAAGGAGGTAAAGTAATAAGTATATTTAGCCCAAAATACAAAATCATTATTTCAAAATATAGTCAATATAAAATCAATATTAATGCAAGATTTCACATTCTTTTTATGTCTTCTAAATATGATTGACGTTCTATTCAATTTGGCATTACATTTTTGTGGGAAATAACTGGATTTTCATTTTGATTTCATAAAGTTCAGTGCTAAAAAATTAAATTCTAATATCTGATTGTTCAAAACATATCTAACATTTTTCAGTAACTGGAGTATTAGCTTTTAAATGAAATTAATTAAACTTAGGTAAAATAAAAATTCAGGTTGGGCCAGGTGGCTCATGCCTGTAATCCCAACACTTTGGGAGATCAGAGCAGACAGATTACTTAACAAAGCTGGATACCAGCCAGGCCAACATGGCGAAACCTCCTCTCTACTAAAACCTCCTCTCTTACATTTTAAAAACTTAGCTGGGTGTAATGGTGAGCATCTGAAATTCCAGCTACTGTGGAGACTGAGCCAGGGAAATTGCTTTAACCAGAAAGGTGGCGGTTAGACTAAGCTGAGATCTCGCCACTGCACTCCATCCTGTGTGACAAGGCAAACCTCCTTCTAAAAAAAAAAACAGAGTCCTCAGCTTCAACAGCCACATATCAAATGCTTAGTGGTCACAAGCTGTTTTCGACGATTTAATTACACAATGCAGATCCTGCCTTAAATTGTGTTTAGGTATGGAGATGGAGATAGAGATAGAAACTACTAATGAATACTAGTGGGCTGGTAAGTTCTTATGTAATCTTGTAAATTTTGCAGTGACTTCTAAAATCAAAGGTTTACACATAGTTAGAGATGAGGATTATGAAAGGAACTTAAGGTAGGTTCAGATGGCAAAACACCGGATTGACAAATTTAAGAACACTGGAAAAGAAATCAAACTATGGGGGCATAAAGATGGAATTTCTCACTGTCTTGAACCTTTGACCTAAAGTTTATCTTTTGATTTTGGAAACGTTTTTTTCATGTAGATATTAACATTCTAATTCTAGAAATGAAGAAACTAAAATGAACATGAGAAAACAGAATTTCACAAAACAGGTCTTGGGCCTCGGAAGATGAAATATATGGAGTGTGAAGAGGAAAAGCAACGGGGGCATAGCTCTCATTAACAAACAGCCCAGCCCACAGGTACGTGATCATATTGTACAAAAGGATTTCAGTTCTTTTCCTGCTCCCTATAAAACCATTTTGCCAATATGTCTACGCGTTTTACCTTGATTTAGTGTACAGAATTTTCCTTTTCTGAAAGAGAAAAGCAAGGGACCCTCACATGAGTCCCTTGCTTTTGAAATGTGAGATTGAAATTGAGTCCCTTTGAAATGTGATTGAAACGCATGACAATGAGTAAATTCGGTCTTGATTTGCCCACGAGTCCTAATATAATTCAAATTTGCTAAATAGACACTAATTTGAAAGGTGCAATTGTATCAATCCTGTGGTTAACGGCATTTTTATGAATGCCTTAAAATAGGGCAGGTTTTTAACAGATTTCAGAGAATGAGCAGGCAGTCACAAAGCATTTTTTGTCTCCTCGCCCCTCCAGCTTGTAGACATCCGCGAGCATTTGTGGGCAGAGATGAATTTGGTTTGGCCGTCTCCCCTCCCCGGAGGGCGAGGGCTCCAAGGAATCCTTGAAGTCAATCGCCTTGGACTATATGCCAGCGTCATTGCGGACCTGCCTCGACACCTTACGAAATAGCTTTCCAATAAGAAAGAAACCCTATTGAAAACAAAAACAAAAGAAAACTAGACCGTTCAACAGTCACGCATGCGCACTATCCCCTTCCGAAATTTATAGTACGCTTATACAAACGCGAACCTGTAAATCTAAACTCTGCCTGGAGCGAAGTAGCCAATAGCTTAAAGGTGTGTAACTTAAGAATTGACAAACTGCTCTTGTTATTGGCTTAAAAAAGAACATCTTGCAGGGACTCCGATAGGTTGATTTACAATACCATGTTAGGCTACAGTATCATTCCCTAAGTATCTTTTCCAGTAAACCGATTTTCATTTTCAAAGTAATTGGGAACTGTTGAGTTTGTAAGCGAAAACCAAGTTAAGTAGTCCTGTTTTGTTTGGGTTTCTTTTTTTTTTTTTTGGTGAGTGCAGTACCTACAAAAGTTCTGTTGGGTGTGTGTTAAATTGTTCAGCGCAACTCAGCTCTCTCCCGCAGGAATCCGGAGAAGCTGCGCCATTGTTGTCTTATAAAAAAACAACCTTCTGGGACTCTCTTCGCCGCCATATTTTTCAATATTCTATATTGAAAATAGTTTTCTTGACAGCTATTGCCCTGATGCTTTGACGTTTTGATTTCCACAAAACAAAATAATAGCGTTAAATTCTTTGAGTCAAATCCGGTATTAAAGGGGCAGGGATTTGGGGATGTTAGAATTTTACTCTAAGAAAAATGAAGCACAAAGTTCCTTATGTTTAAACAGTGTATCTTAGAATACCGTATTTGAGTGAATTAGCTATGTACCCTATAATGAAATCAGGACTCATTCAGAACCAGGACTCATTAAGAGATACTTAGACAATGGATTTTAAGTGAGTGAATAGGGAAGGGAAAAACTTAAGGACAGTTAAGCAGAAAAAAACATGGTTTCGAAAAAAATTCTGAAGAACTTTAATTCAAATACATTCTATTTTTTATAGCTAAACAGGATAAAAGTTCAATCTGTTAAGTTAAATGATCAATGTTTGTAAGTTATTCTCTATGTGAAACATCAAAGAAACCTTTAACAAAAACGACTTAAATAGCCAGTTCTCTACCCAAATTTACCAATCAGAATCTTGCTCTGAAAAAATAAACCAATGGAAAACGGTTCCGATCACTTCCGGAATTTAGCAACCTATCACTAACAGGGATTGTCCACAATCCAATCAGAGTGATTCTCTTCCTTTATAAATACAGGGGTAAAGCGGGTTTTCCTAATTCCCTTGCTTCTCAGGTTAGTCATGGCGCGTACTAAGCAGACTGCCCGTAAATCCACAGGCGGTAAAGCGCCACGCAAACAGCTGGCTACTAAAGCGGCGCGTAAGAGCGCTCCGGCCACTGGCGGTGTGAAGAAGCCCCACCGGTACCGCCCCGGTACCGTGGCCTTGCGCGAGATCCGTCGGTACCAGAAGTCCACCGAGCTGCTGATTCGGAAATTGCCGTTTCAGCGCCTGGTGCGAGAAATCGCTCAAGACTTCAAGACCGACCTGCGCTTCCAGAGCTCAGCGGTGATGGCGCTGCAGGAGGCCTGCGAGGCCTACTTGGTGGGGCTGTTTGAGGACACCAACCTGTGCGCCATCCATGCCAAACGCGTCACCATCATGCCCAAGGACATCCAGCTTGCCCGCCGCATTCGTGGTGAGAGAGCGTAAATGTCTTGAGCACCAACCTTAAATACAAAGGCTCTTTTCAGAGCCAATTCCTTTATCCATGAAAAAAGCTGTAACCCTTTTAAGACTCAGTAGACCACGAGACTGTAGTAATTTAAATAGACTTTTGAAATTCAAATCTCCAATCCCCTCAATTTACGTCACTTGAATTCCCAAATTTAAACTCTCAGGTTTCGCCTGGGCCTCCTACTCGGGCACTTTTGGTCTGAATCAGGCTACCTTGTTCACTAGTGTTTTGAAGCCCAGCTACATGTCAGCGACGGCCAGCGCCTTGGGCCAAAGTTACCCTCTCTGTGCGCCTGATAGTGGTCCAAAGCAAAGGTTATTAGCTGGAACACAGGCCCGTGGCATTAACAGACAGCTCTTGCCGACTTGGCAGCCTTGCTTAGGTTATAAATTGCAGGAGTCAAAGGCGCAGATGGGTGTGTCTCAGATATACGCGAGTGCCAAACGAAAATGCAGAAGTCATAAGCCTTTTCAGCCGGTACCCAAAAGAACTCAACTACTAATTACCCTGTCTTAAATCTTAGGAAGGGTACCCCATATTTATCATCAAAAGGAAAATCCTTTGATGGCTTGAAAGGTCTTTCAGAAAATATCTGCTTTTCCTTTCCATGCAAAGGTACAGTTATGGCTATACCATACTAAATAGATATTTTCTTCCCATGAAAACTTTGCTCACAACTTGTAAACTGGTAGATGAAGGCAAGGGAAATAAAAAATTCTGTTCCGAAATCATACAGGCTGTTATTTGGAAATGTAGAAGGGTGTATACAGTATATGGGACACTACATGCCATTTGGAAGAATTTTGTTTATTCAAACATTTCAGCAAATTCCTCAGTTTTGAAATGGGGTGAAGTATCGTTAACTTTCATTGAGAAGTTTCTATTAATTTTTTTTTCAATGAGCTGTTTTCCCTTAAGTAGCACTAAGAGGTTAGTCATGTGGTAAAATTAATTGTGACAAAGCTGTAAATAGCTATGCAGACCAAGATAGCCATAGCCTGGAGAGTTTATGGAAGAAATCTTTGTTCATAGAAGCCTGTTCAACATAAAGACTTGGGTTCTACGGAACTGGATTCAGTGCATGAGGAAGACAGCGTAACTCCATAATTAAGGTAACTGCAGTCACGCATTTGTAATATAGTACATTCTGGATAAAAGCATTCTCTATGTGAATGTTGTTTCCTGTATCCTGTACTTTCTTTAAGGTTCTAGCTCAGCAAGTTTTAACCTGTATTTCTCTTATAGCTGTTGGACTTCAGTACATGGGGACTTGGAGGTGGTGGGCACAGAATGCATCTTTTTATATTATTTAATCTACTGGAACACCTAGCATGGTCATTTACCTAAAACAAAGCCTCGGGAAATGTAGTCAAGTTGAGATTTAACGTAAAAGATTACTGAACAGAAGTTACCATTTAGTGCATTCCTGGTTACAAAAATAAAAGATAAAGTTTATGTAATATTAATATGTAGTTTTTCTAAATAGGAAAAAAAATCCACAGTTACTGAGTGGCTGCAGTGGGCCAGAAGTCATGGAGTAATTTATGAAGCCTCCAAAAATGTAATATCAATGGTTATCAATTATCTAAAACAAATTAAGAAACTGAAACTAAGAAAATATCAGATAGTACTGGAGCCAAAACTTTCCCCACTAGGCATTAATGTTTTAAATAAACAGCCTCACCAGAATTTCGTCAGTTAATCCTTAGGGCTTTATCACCTGAAAGAGCTACCAAAGAAATACTGACATGTTTAAATCTTTTTTATACATTAAAATTGATGAATGTTTTAAAATTTACAGGGTCTTAAGCTAGCCATGGTGGCTCACACCTGTAATCCCAGCACTTTCGGAGGCTGAGACAGGTGAATCACCTAATGTCAGGAGTTCAAGAGCAGCTTGGCTAACATGGTGAAACCTTTGTCTCTACTAAAAAAAAAAAAAGAAGTACAAAAAGTAGCCAGGTGTGGTGGCATGCACCTGTAATCCCAGCTACTTGTGAGGTTGAGGCTAGGAGAATCAAACCTGGGAGGCAGAGGCTGCAGTTAGCCAAGACCATGCTACTGCACTGTAGGCTGGGATACAAAGCAAGATTCCATCTTAATAAAATAATAGCAATAAAATCAAATGTACAGGGTCTTATAGAATTGTGAAGTTCTATTATACCATAATTAGTACTGCAAACTGTACAGAAAAGTAGCTGATGTACATACATTGAAATATGACATTAACATTGACAAATTTTAGCCTTTCTGCATACTATTCAAATAATAGCCTTGATTTAGCCACACATGCACACACAACTTTTTTTTAAGGCATACACCAAGATAGTACTAAATAGTACCAGATGTATTTAAAATAAATTGTGATTTTATGTGGGGAAGATCAAAAGTCTGACTTGTGTCAGATCATATTTTTTATGTACCTGTTTGGCACAGTGTATTGTATATCCATTTCAGTTACAAAGTTGCCTGCAAGTACTTATGATTTTTTTAAAAAAGTATGTAATCTCTGAATAACCAGTAACTTCATATTATAAAAATATTAACTAAAGCTTGAGAAAATTCAGAAATCCCATTTTATTATTTCTCCATACTCTCCCTACTCCACCTGTCAACAGCAAATACTGGTATGTAACACATTGGAATTTGCACTGTATAGGTGAAACTTTTTCTTTATTTTTATTTTATGCTTGCCCCAACTAAAAATTGTATACATAAAATGGTATACTTCAGAAGATAAGGAAGATTGTCTGTAAATCAGGCAATGGAAACATGGGTCATGAAGGGGCCAGAGAAATTTGTTACCCTTGGTTTCCCACACAGGAAAACAGAAAATAAAATCACTGTATTTGATGACTATCTGAAAATAATTAACTTGTTTGATTGAATTTTTTAATTCAGACCCACACACAAACACACACACACACACATGCCCCTAGAGTAGTGGAAAATAAGACAAATGTTCTAGACTTCAGTTTAGTTAACTGGAGAAAATAATAGATGTATTAAAATTTTTCTATTGATAATTATTCTTAACTCTTAAATGTCATGAAAGCACATTTTGAGAGATAAGTTTATGTTTTAAATTAAAGGAACTTTTGCATGGAGATGTAATTTCAGAAGGAATTCGATGTATTGGAAGATTCTCACAAGGAATTTCTCCTGAACAAAGTTGTAAAAAAAAAAAAAGAAGAAAAAGAAATAGAAAGGTTGCATTGTTATTAGTGTCTGTGAATGTGAGCAGACAGTATTATGACAAGACGCTACAGGACTTTCCCTTGAACCTAGAAGTCAATGACCTAAATAAGGTATATTTGGTTTTTGTTTTCAAAAATGGGCCGGGCGTGCTGGTTCACACCTATCAACCTAGCACTTTGGGAGCCTGAGGTAGATGAATCACCTGAGGTCAGGAGTTAGAGGCCCCATCTGTAGTAAAAACGCCAAAACAAAAGAAAAATTAGCCAGATATGATAGCATGTGCCTGTAAGACCAGCTACCCAGGAAGCTGAGGCAGGAGAATCACTGGAACCCTGGAGGCGGAGGCTACAGGGACCCAAGATTGTGCCACAGCACTCCAGCCTGGTCAACTGAGACTATGCCGCCCCTCCCCCCCCCAAAAAAGGTTAAGAATTTAGAAATTGGAGACTAGAGAAATTAGGGAACCAGTTAGTGAGCAATGGAATCATCCCAACTATGAGAGAATGTAGAAGGGAGAAAATGTTAGAATTATTGAGACTTCTTTAAAAATCAACCAGATTTAGGTTGGGTGTGGTGGCTCATGCCTGTAATCCCAGCACTTTGGGAGCCCGAGGAGGATCACGAGGTCAGGAGTTCAAGACTAGACTGGCCAACATGGTGAAACACTGTCTATACTAAAACACAAAATTTAGCTGAGCATGTTGACTCCTGCCTGTAATCCCAACTACTTGGGAGGGAGAGGTAGGAGAATTGCCTGAACTGAGACCAGGGAGGCAGAGGCTGCAGTTAGCATGCTCAGGCCACTGTACTCCAGCCTGGGCTACAAATCAAGACGCCATCTAAAAAAATAAATAAAAATAAAAATCAACCAGATTTTTTTTTATTTGAAAGACAGAAAGAGAAAAGAGGAGAGAGAACAGGAGTCTTGCTCTATTGCCCAGGCTAGAATGCAATCTAAAAATAGGTATTAAAAACCTCTTTTATGCCGATAATTGTGCTTAACAGCGGAGACAGGAAGGAATAAGGAAAGAAAATAACAAACAGCCAACCAATATTTCATTTAAGTCTGTGAAATGCTATGCAAATGCTGAGGAGTGATTTACTTCCAATTATGTGGTCACTTTCAAAATAGGTCTAATGTGATACTGAGAAAAATATATGTTCTGTGGACCTGGGGTGAAGAATTCTATATTCACTGAGTTTACTTGTTCCAGGTCTGAGTTCAAAAATCAACCAGATATAATGACTGTGCAACAGGGATATTTGAGACCTACACACAACACCATGAAAATCTGCTTCCTTCAGTTAAAAGAAAGTAGTGACTTCAGGCTGCGATTAAAAATTACTTTTGTGTCAGACCTATGCCATAAGCATAACTACTCTCCAACAGCTAAGATAATATAAAAATGCCCTCCACAACGTCCATGCTAAGACACTGTTAATCTTCTTTACAAATCTCCAGATATATATTATAACTGCTACCAAAATGTAAGATACGGAGAAAGATTTAAATAACTCCAGATTTCCTTGAAATCACGTGTGTGTCCTCTGTGGCAAATGAAGATGAATTTATATAAATCAGAGTGACTCTGGAAGATCCTTGATTGAATCATCTTTAATTGCTTCTGTAGCATTCCAAACATTGTGAAATGGGTACTGTCGGGGTCCGGCACGTCTGCTGGGGGACTACCGACCTGCGGGAGTCCCCGAGACCGCCAACGTAGATGTCTCGTTCAACCTGAGAGAGAGAGTGCACAGAAGAGAAAGAATATAGAAATGTAGAGTCTGGAGGGCTGGGCAGCACAGCAGCAGCCACAGCGAGCCACAGCGACAGCCACAGCGATTTTATTCTTGTGGGTTACAGCTTTTATACTTTTTTCTTGTTACATTTACTTAATCTCAGTAGAAAGAAAAAAGTGGTAAACAGAAAGGAAATAGAAACTCCACAGAAATAGTTATCAGGGGCTTGTAATATCCGCTCAGAAAGCAGTTTAAGGGGGCTTGTGATAGGAGTTTACATTTCAAAGATTTTACATTTCAAAGATACAATGGCACCCTTAAGGTGGCTGGTTAAACCTTTTTCACCAGGAGCTAAAACAAAGGCTTGGCTCCAGGGAAAATATGGGCAGGGGTCTCTGCTCCTCTCAGGCATCTCAATTGCAGCAAGTTTATTGCAATTACACAGAGACTGATGGGGACATGGAAGCAGACAGCATAATGTCCTCATAAACTGCAGGCCTTTGCTTTGCATTCTGTTGTTGCTTTTAGTGAGTCAGCTCACGGCCCTGTCTCACTCGACAGCCCTCGAGGTGAGGAAATGCAGTACAGGTCCAGCAGCCAAACTGGGGCGAGTCAACTAGCTGTCTCGAGCCCTTGGCGCGAACACTACAGGGTACTTCACAAGGGGCCTGAAATAGAAATATATAAGTTCTGCTTTTTTCTCAGTACCACTCCTTTTCCAGTGGATGTAACAGAAGTGAAGCAGTGTAAGAATGATACTAGGAATCAATAAACTTGTTTGAGACCTAGGTCCACCATTTACTGACAGCAAATTGTCATTTCCTGTCATTTCTCTTTTCTAAGCCCCAAGTTTCCTAATGGTAAAACAAACATTTTAGCTCTACCTAATATAAATGCATTATAACTGCCCCAGTGAGGCAGTTAAATAACTGCTTTGTAAAAGTAACGAACTACAGGTATAGTATAGTCATTTGGATTGTTCTTAAGGAATGCTACATTCCCCACCTAATTCTCTTAATCCTTATCACTTTTCATCAAAAGTTGAAATCTTGTCATTTTGGGTATTAAAGACTTCCCACATCTCTTTTCCCCATTGGGGATTGGGAAATAATGACCCAAAATGAAGGCCTTAGAAGCACCCTCAGAAGCAGAAGTTTGTCTCTGACCTCCTGTTCTCCTTTGGCCTCTCATTGAGGCTACACATAAAAACTAGAACCCCTCTTCCCCAAGGTGGTTACAGAAACCAGAACCCCTTTTTCTTCATAAAACCATAAAGCCTTAAAGAAGTACATGTCTTACATTGTTCAGCTGTAGGTCGTAGACCCTCTCTCATTCCAGAGGGTCCTGCCCCATACCCAGAAGGAATCTCAGCAGAGGCCAAGAAGAGTCTAGACACAGAGGCCTTGCTGTGTTTCCCCAGGCTATTAGCATTAGATGAAACACTCTGGCCAATGACATTTCTACATGGCAGTTGCTACTTTGTTGAACCTAAGCATAAAAATGGATAGTTTCCCCTGTACTTCTGGGCTTTCATTCTGCAGGTTCCCATGTCACAAAAGCCTATGATGAAGTATGACTTTGCTATTAATCTGTCTTTTTTCTGTGGATTTTCATTGAAGTTTCAGAGCGTGAAGAAGTTTGCCTCACCCCAATACCTGTCTTTCCTACTCAATGACACAATCTATTATTTTCAAAAAGATTATTTTGAATAACTATTTCACGAGCGGACACGGTGGCTCACACCTGTCATCCTGGCACTTTAGGTGGCCAAGGCGGGCAGATCACGAGGTCAGGAGTTCAAGATCAACCTGGCCAACATGGTGAAACCCTGTCTGTACTAGAAATACAAAAATTAGCTAGGCACTGTGGTGCGTGCCTGTAATCCCAGCTACTTGGGAGACTGACGCATAATTACTTGACCTGGGAGGCGGAGGTTGCAATGAGCCAATATCGCACCACTGCACTCCAGTCTGGGCTACAGAGCAAAACTCCATTTAAAAAGAAAAAGATCACATCCTCCCATTTATTCAGATCTCCTTCTCAATCAAGCCACTCTCATATAGGGAGGTATTTTGGCTTTCTCTACGAAGAAGAAATTGTGTGATGTGCCCGTGGTACCCAAAAAATTAAACTCCTGCTTATAACTAGAAAAATATCACAGGCTACATCTTTTTTTTGGGGGGGGGAGGCAAATAATAATGTAAAATATAAAACAACGAATAAACATAATGTAAACAAAGAAGATCAAGAGGTATTACATTCATAAAGGCCTTATAATATTTTGTCCCACTGCAAACTTGTTTAATAATTAATGACTTGGACCAGGCACGGTTGTTCACACCTGTAATCTCAACACTTTGGGAGGCCAAGGCCGGGGGGATCACGAAGTCAAGAGATCAAGACCATCTTGGCCAGTATGGAGAAATTCCATCTCTACAAAAAATACAAAAATTAGCTGGGCATGGTGGCACACGCCTGTAGTCCCAGCTACTCAGGAGGCTGAGGCAGCAGAATTCCTTGAATCCAGGAGGCAGAAGTTGCAGTGAGCCAAGATCATACAACTGCACTCCAGCCTGAGCAACAAGAGTTAAACTCAGTCAAAAACAAACAAAAACAGTTTATGACTTGTTTTGTGCTATGTACTCTAGATTATGGAAATCTATAGACAGCTTCTCAAAACCATGTTTTTTTAAAAAAAATACAAGGCAAGAAAGGTAATGACAATGAAAGTTTTTTTCTTAAAGCTGTATATACTTTAGTTACACATCAAATAAGATGTAGCAGTAAGTGTAATAATGTTTGAAAGGTTCACAATTAAACTATACCTATAAGTTCAAAGTGATATAAAAATATCTATGATTATCATTGATGTGAAATCCAGTGATTAGCTGCGTGTACTCACAAAGGAAATACCAAATTGCATTTAGGATTTGTTAAAATGATGTAACCTTTTCCCATCTAAAGTCCCATAAACATCTGTAGAAATCAGATTATGTCCAGAGTTCTCAGTACAGTTAAGTGGGCTTTCCTAAAATCAAATACAAAATTAAACACCACCTCATCCTCCCAGATAAAATGGAAATAGTAGTACATACAGGTCAGCCCACCTTCCTATGGCTCATTTTCTTTGTCCTGGTAACCCCAATTTCAGGCTCCTTGCTGCTTTCCCCAAGGTTTTTCCTTTCATACTTTTCACTATCCCTTAGCCTCAGGGTGACAGCAATACTTATATCCCAGCATACACAAATTTTAATATCGCGCTCTGGTGAAAAATATCCTCTAGGAAAAAACACGCAAATAAAAATTTAAAAATAAGTTGATTGGTTAATTCAGCAGGCCGTGCAAACCAATGGAAAAGCATGGTTTACAAAACTGAGACAGAGACTATTGATGACCTCTTCCTCCGATTGGCTTAATACTAGAATTGCACTTTTCCCCAAACATTATATGGACGAGGGAAACAAGACCGAACTCGCACCAAACAAGACCGGCTCTTCCCATGCGGGCCTACAGTTGCCAGTAGGGTTAATATACCGCGTCCTCCGCAAAGAGCTACTCTGAGATGGTTGGGCCAGCACGCTAGTGTTACCTGGAAGCATTCTACAAAGTTAGAGTAGGCAGAAATAAGTTAACAGCCAAGAGAGACCCTGGGAAAATAAGTCCTGGAGACGCTGGCCACTGACAGAAAAGAAACACAATAACCACACTGCCTTTTTTTCCCCCCTAGAGGAAGTCTTGCTCTGTTGCCCAGGCTGGAATGCAGCAGCGCGATCTCGGTTCACTACAACCTCCGTCTCCCTTCAAGCGACTCTCATGCCTCAGGCTCCGCGTAGTAGCTGGGATTCCAGGTGCGCGCCACCACACTCCCGCGATTTTTTGTATTTCTTTACTAAAGACGGTTTCACCATGTTGGTAAGGCTGGTCTCAAACTCCTGACCTCATGATCCACCTGTCTTGGCCTTCCAAAGTGCTGAGATTATAGGCGTCAGCTACCGCGCTCGGCCCCAAAATGCCAGTTTTCAGCAACGTACCTGACCGCCGGTACCCCAGAACGAAGTGGGTAACAATGCCTGCGAAAAGACGGGCACTCGGCGGCACCCACAACTGACCATCGCCAACGATTGGTTACACAAGATCGCGGGCCGCAGGAACCCTTCGCAGGCAAAGCCTGCTCAAAACCAGGAAGGGCTGTAGCTCAAAAAGTAATCTCCATATGAAAGCAAAGCATTTAAAACATATCCCTATACCAGGTAAAAATCGTTTCAGAGCCACTTTTAGGCGCCTCACTTTAAATCAGCTACCCAATCACGCACTAGGGCGGGAACTTAAAAGAAAAACCCAGGGGTAGTGGGTCTAGTAGCCCTAGCCACTCCGGTGACTGTGGCTGAGACCGGAGGATCTTCGAAACCAGGCTGCAGGGAGCGGTGAGCTTACTTGAACCCCAACTTGCTTCACTAGGATCGACCCGTCCGTCACTCCCACAGCAACCCCTCCAAGAAAAGTTACAGCTCTTTTGACTGAGATCTGTAGGTGGCCCTGAAAAGAGCCGTTTAAGTTTTCAAAGAGGAACGTCCCGCCAGTTTCACTTTTTCTTCGGAGCCGCCTTCTTCGCCTTTGTAACCTTCGGCTTCGCGGCTTTAGGCTTGGCTGCCTTGGGTTTAGGAACTTTGGCCTTGGCTGGACTCTTGGCAGCTTTCTTCGGCTGGGATGCTTTCACCTTTTTCGCACTCTTGGCCACTTTCTTGGCCCCAGCAGCTGTTGCCCCCTTTCTTGCTTTCTTAGGGGTCTTCCTCACGCTTTTCTTGGGTGTAACGGCAGCAGTCGCCCTCTTGGGTTTCTTGGCTGCCCCTGCGGGCTTCTTAGGCTTGGCAGCGCCCGCCTTCTTCGCTTTAGGCTTAGCTTCCCCGGAAGCCGCCTTCTTGTTGAGTTTGAAGGAGCCAGAAGCACCGGTGCCTTTAGTCTGCACCAAGGTGCCTTTGCTCACCAAGCTTTTGAGGCCAAGCTTGATGCGGCTGTTGTTTTTCTCTACATCGTATCCCGCAGCCGCAAGCGCTTTCTTAAGTGCGGCCAGAGAAACGCCGCTGCGCTCCTTGGAAGCTGCCACCGCCTTAGTGATGAGCTCTGACACTGGGGGTCCCGATGCCTTGCGTTTTCCAGCCGCTGCGCCTGCTTTCTTCACCTTCTTCTTCACAGGTGTTTTTTCCGCGGGTGCAGGAGTAGTAGGAGCAACTGGAGCAGTCTCCGACATGTTGCTGTCTTTCCAAAGACAAAAGTAAACTCTAAGTGTCAGAGCGCCTTGTCCTCTCCGGCGGAGGCTGAGGGTTTTTATAGAGAGACGCTGAGCGATGATTGGTTCCCTGCTCCATACGCGGCCCTGCTGGAAAAGGACTCCTCGGCTCTACCGCGCTGCTGTGTTTGTTGCCCCTTAAAAAACAGTAAAAATGTAAGAAATCTGGGCAGGAAATAATTACGGATTTGGGGGAAACTGATCCGAGAGACTTCGGGCTTCCTTCCTGCCTTATTTTCTGTGCATAGTTTTAAAACCGGCATCTTGAAACTTTCCTTATTCCCCCAACTCTCTTTCAAACTTCGGTCAAATCGAGACAACTTTCAGGTTTTCCTTAAAAATACTATTTCTCCCTCTTTCCTTTGCAAATGTCTATTCCAGGGCATTGTTCCCTGCATTCTTCTCTTCTCGACTTTATACAGATAAACTCATTTTTACTCAAATGTGTAGGAAAATTGGTGTTTTTCCGCAGGAACAATAGCACAGGCTCTCTGGCGAGCTGTTTGCATCAAGCTCTAGGAATTGGCACTGGGGTAGAAAGTACTATGTACAAGAGGGGGGATTATTTTAGAAAAGATAGGGTTTTTTTTGTTTTTTTGTTTTTTTTAAATAGCATTTAAGTTACTAGTGTGTAAGATGGATTTGATCTCACTATTTTAGTGGTTTAAAAATTTACAGAAAGATGAGAGTGAGGTTACATCATTCTTCTTATAGAAAAAAGTACTAAACAGACCAATCTTCTCTTAAAAGTTAGGATCATGGATTTTTCAGAGCTAAAATAGGCATTAAAGATCAACTACCACATCTCCAAAAACAAAACTGAATCAAGAAATGATAGAATGGCAGGCCAACATCATGTTACCAACTGTGAGCACTCAGAGCGAGAGCTTCTGAGCATTAACAGTTCACATGTTCCTGTCCCATCACTTTAAAATTGTAAATAATTTAATGGAAGACACTATTTTTTTTGCCAATATTTACCATAGAATTTTGTACATATTTTTATACTTTAAAATCATATTTAAAATACAAATTTTGGTTCTCTCTCTGTCTCTATCTCCAACCTGGTTGAATAAATGGTAAAAATCACTATTTACTAAAATAAAATACAAATTTCAACATTACAGGTGGGGACATTGAAGATTAGAGAGAAAAAAATCTCATTAAAATCACTTTCAAAATTTTCATCATTCTCCTTGGACTTTTTACTCACAAAATATAAACTGAGCTGTCACACCCAAAATTAAAAATTGGTGAATATGTCCATCTAAGGAGCTAAACAAACATTTCACAGCAAACATGAGTAACTTCACTGTTCCTTATCTTTCAGTTTGCAATGCAGATGATGGAATTATGTTACTATTGGATAATTAAGCATAAAATTAATATTCTCCATCAAATAATTGATGCTGAAATGAACTCCTATGTTTGTTAAATAAACAAGAGTAATTTGATGTTCTGTTACTACTAACAAAAATACTCATATTTCATAAAATCAAGTTATTCTGGCCTACACTCAATAGTGATTAGAGGACTTTTTCATGTAAATTCTAGGTAAATCCTAAATTCTTTCCCAAAGAAATTGGGGGAAAAAATCCTAGATAAAATAATCAACTTTGAGGATGTCATCTCTCCTGATTCAACTAATTTCATTAAAATTGCTTAAATTGTCTTAAGTAATTATTCACTTTCTTGCACAGATTGGAAATAAGTCTCTGGGACGTAAGGCCGTGTTGTATACCACAAAAACACAAATATGGTTTATGAAAGAGGAAAACGTACAGACTTGGATTTGTCGAAATCGGTAATTCCTGTAGGGAGGCATTTTATGGGTTTCTGGAGGAAGGGGCTGTGCATCATTATGGATATCATTTTCAACAGTGACTGATGGTCACAGGCACAAGCATTTCTTTTTCCAGTCCATAGCTTTATAATGTCTAACACAAATATAGGATTACGATTAAGATTGCTGGTCGGGCGTGGTGACTCAACTCCTGAAATCCCAGCACTTTGGGAGGCCGACGTGGGTGGATCACGGGATCCAAACATCAAGAGATCAAGCCTATCCTGGCCAACACCGTGAAACCCCGTCTATACTACAACACACACACACACACACACACACACACACACACACATACACATACACACAATTAGCCGGCCGTAGTGGTGGGTGCCTGTAGTCCCAGCTACTAGGGAAACTGAGGCAGGAGAATCGCTTGAACTCAGGAGGCGGAGGTTGCAGTGAGCCGAGAACCCGTCACTGCACTCCAGCCTGGGCTTACAGAACGAGACTGTCTTAAAAGGAATAGTTACATTATTTTCTTGTCTATCCATTTTGTAGACAAGTGTATGTAGCGTTAGTGCCTCCTTTTTACAAATGTTAAAGGTGTTAGGAGACAAACAATCAGTTCTTTGAGAGCCAACAGGCACTAGACTGGAGGACACAGAAACCTGCACGCAAGCCCAAAACAAGGAAACAGAAAGGAGTCAAACCGAGTTGCATTTCCCCGCCCGCTTCGTTCCTTAGACAATAGTGTCGGGGACGCCCAGTAAGGTAGGGAAAAGGCGGAGACGCAGGTTTCGTTCCCGCCCCTGCATTTCAGTCTCCAAAAAGGTCCGCATTATTGATATATAAGGGGCTTCAGGGAGTACTGAAGTTGCAGAGGTACGGCCGCTACTTGCTTGTGAGTATGTCTGGCAGAGGGAAAGGAGGTAAAGGCTTGGGGAAAGGAGGCGCTAAGCGCCACCGGAAAGTGCTGCGTGACAACATCCAGGGCATCACCAAGCCCGCCATCCGGCGCCTGGCCCGACGCGGCGGCGTAAAACGCATCTCGGGCCTTATTTATGAGGAGACCCGCGGGGTGCTCAAGGTGTTTCTGGAGAATGTGATCCGGGACGCCGTCACTTACACGGAGCACGCCAAGCGCAAGACGGTCACCGCCATGGACGTGGTCTACGCGCTCAAGCGCCAGGGCCGCACCCTCTACGGCTTTGGTGGCTGAGCCTCTTTCCGGGCTTGCGACTGACAGCTCTCCCACAAAAGGCCCTTTTCAGGGCCACCTCCTTCCTCACGAAGGGCCGTAACCGCTTACCATGAAGACGTAGGCGATCTGAATTTCCTTTTGTAAACTTTCTGGGGTTGTAGCAGAGTTAACCCAAGCCGTTTTTACCGATCCTGCCAAGATGGCGGGTGTTGGGTGTGCTCCGGACAAAGGGAAGGCGAAAGAACATTGGGAACTTGGGTGTTTCTATCTCCGGCATCCACGGAAACTGGTGGAAATGATTTAAGAATACCAGCAGTTCTGCGACGTATGGGATCTATTTTATTCTCGGGTTTCTAAATTGTAACTGGTTGTGTACTATGTGGCTGGGTTTTATTACACTAGCATTACGTGTTATTAGCCATAGTACCTGAATGATCTCATCGGTTAGGGACAGGTCCATCACTGGTAAACTTAAAAATCCAGTATTTGTGGCGGGGCAGGGTGCCTCGGCTGTAACCCCAGCACCCTGGGAGACCGAGGCGGGCGGATTACTAAAGCTCAGAAGTTCCAGACTAGCCAGGGCACAAAAATGGTGAAACCCCGTCTACTGAAAATGCTAAGTACGAAAGTTAGCCCGGCGTGGTGGCGCACGCCTGCAGTCGCAGCTACTCTGCAACGGCCGAGGCAGGAGAATCGCTTCAGCAGGGGAGGCGGAGGTTTCAGTGATTGCGAGATGGCGCCACTGCGCTCCAGCCTGGGCGACATTGAGACTGTCTCAAAGACGAAAGAAAGGAAAGAAGGAAGGAAGGAGGGAGGGAAAGAGCCGTGTCCCCGCCGAGCTCAGGGGCTCAAGGAGTTCCTGACCACCCTAGCCAACATTGCAAAACCCCGTCTCTACGTTGTAGCACGCGCCTGTAATCCCAGACACTCTGGAGGCTGAGACAGGAGAATCGCTTGAACCCGGGAGGCGGAGGTCGCAGTGAGGCGAGGTCGAGGTCGTGCCACCACACTCCAGCCTGCGGCATAGAGCAAAGCCTCATTTAAAAAAAAAAAAAAAAAAAGCCCGAGTTTTTGCCTTAGTGAATCTTTCTTGGGGGCAATTAACTGATTACAGGTCATTGATAATCTTACTGCTTTATTTCTCAAGTACTGATAATTTATAACCTCCTAAAGTGTTTCTCCTTGTGCTTTGTCAACCTATCGGGTTCCCTTTTCTTTCTCTCGTCTTTGAGACAGTATGACTGTGGCCCAGGCTAGAGCGCAGTGGCGCCATCTCGCAATCACTGAAACCTCCGCCTCCCCTGCCGGGACTGCGTTTTGTTCATATATGCATTCCCAGTGTCCATGGCATCAAACTACTTATTGCCACTCGTGTCTTCACACTGCTGGAGACCTACACTCTGCCAACATTACTTGAAATGCCCTGGTCCCCTGTCGTTCCCCTCTAGCTAACTGCTGATCAGAGTCAGAGCAAGAGAAATAAATGTGCATACTTATGACAAGTGTCATGCAGCTGGGTGTCCTGCTACTTGATCCTCTTCTGCAGATAGGTCTTTTATACTCACCTGTTGAGAGGCCTCTCTCCTGATGATGCCAGAGTTTTTAGCAGTTTTGTTATGTGCTAATGTATCCCAAATTTTTATTATAAAAATATTCAGAAAAAAACTTGATAAAAGATGTGTTTATCCATCATCGACCACCTAGATTCAATAGAGTGTACTTTACCACCATCTGAAAGTAAATGACAGACTCATGAATCTAAACCTATATACTTCAGCATCTAATTCCTAAAAATAAGGGAAATTACATGTAATCTAAATATATCAAAACTTTTTTTTTTTTTTTTTTTTTGAGACGGAGTTTCACTCTTGTTACCCAGGCTGGAGTGCAATGGCGCGATCTCGGCTCACCATTCCTCCGCCTCCTGGGTTCAGACAATTCTCCTGCCTCAGCTTTCCAAGTAGCTAGTATTACAGGCATGTTCCACTATGTCCAGCTGGTTTTTGTATTTTTAGTTGAGACAGTGTTTCACCATATTGGTCAGG